ACACTTTTAATTAGGAAGAAAAATACATTTTTAATTAGGAAGAAAAAAGACCTGCTGATTTGAAAAGGCAGCAAAGAAAGAAAAATAATAAAAAGACTTTACAATTTAAAAATTAATCAGCAGGTTAAATGAATATAAAATGAGGAATGTACAGTGAAAAACAAACACAAAGCATTTCAGTTGTTAAAATTAAAAACCTACTCAGGCTTATAGTTTGTTTTCTAAGGAAGTTATGTTATATATATATATATAACATTTAGCTCCCTTTTATAAGACTCACTCCTATAATTCCTAGCACTTCGGGAGACTGAGGCGGGTGAGTCACTTGAGCCCAGAAGTTCGAGACCAGCCTGGGCAACACGAAACCCCATCTCTACCAAAAGTACAAAAATTAGCCAGTCTCATGACGTGGTCTCAAAAAATAAATAAATAAAAGCTCAGAACTGTAAAATCAAAGGACATGAGCACAGGAAAAGCATGTCTGTCCAACAGCCAGGGTCCAGTTGACCTTAAGAGACAACGAGTCCTCTGCTCTCTAAGTTCTCATCCTTGTATTTTACCGTATCTGTAGTGGCCCCCATCTTATTATTCTTTTTTTTTTTGCTTTTTGAGATGGAGTCTTGCTCTATCGCCCAGGCTGAAGTGTAATGCTGCGATCTCGGCTCACTGCAACCTCCGCCCCCAGGTTCAAGCAATTCTCCTGCCTCCACCTCCCGAGTAGCTGGGATTAGAGGTGCCAGCCACCACACCTAGCTAATTTTTGTATTTTGCATTTTTTTAATTTTTTTGAGATGAGGTCTTGCTCTGTCACCCAGGCTGGAGGGCAATACTGCGATCTCGGCTCACTGCAACCTTCGCGTCCTGGGTTCAAGCGATTCTCCTGCTTCAGCCTCCTGGGTAGTTGGGATTACCGGCGCCCACCACCATGCCGGGCTAATTTTTGTACTTTTAGTAGAGACAGGGTTTTGCCATGTTGGCTAGGCTGATCTTGAACTCCTGACCTCAGGTGATCTACCTGCCTTGGCCTCCCAAAATGCTAGGACTATAGGCATGAGTGACCTCGCCTGGCCTTCGCCATGACTTTCTAATTCCAATGGTAATATTTACAGTATTTACCAAAACTTAGAATATTGCAAATACTGGAATTCTACCAGTGTTTCTTTGATAAACCTTGTGTACAAAATTTGAAATTTTAACATTGGCACTCAAAAATCTGTATAGAATGTATGTTTGGAGTATTTCAAATTTATACTGAAACATAACTTCCTTAGAAAACAAACTATAAGCCTGAGTAGGTTTTTAATTTTAACAACTGAAATGCTTTGTGTTAGTTTGTTTTTCACTGTACATTCCTCATTTTATATTCATTTAACCTGCTGATTAATTTTTAAATTATAAAGTGTTTTTATTATTTTTCTTTCTTTGCTGCCTTTTCAAATCAACAGGTCTTTTTTTCTTCCTAATTAAAAATGTATTTTCTTCCTAATTAAAAGCGTGTGTGTGTGTGTGTGTGTGTGTGTGTGTATAAACTTCACCAAGTGAAACTAAGCCATACTGTTTTTGAGCCAATTATTAGTAATGAGTTAAAAAGAAAAAAAAAAGTAAAAAAAAAAGTTTTGTCTTCAAGTAAAATGTCTGGTTGTTCCAGACATTTCCAACGTGTGAAAGGAGGTGAGAGCAGCTCAGCCTGAAGTCGTGTAGTAAGTTGTAAAAAGCTCCAGGGGAATGGCTGGGTGCGGTGGCTCACACCTCCAGTCCCAGCACTTTGGGAGGCTTAGGTGGGTGGAAGATTGAGACCATCCTGGCTAACATGGTGAAACCTCGTCTCTACTAAAAATACAAAAAAATTAGCTGAGCATGGTGGCAGGTGCCTGTGATCCCAACTACTCAGAAGGCAGAGGCGGGAGAATCACTTGAACCCAGGAGGCAGAGGCTGCAGTGAGCTGAGATCGCACCACTGCACTCCAGCCTGGGCAACAGAGTGAGACTCTGTCTCAAAAAAAAAAAAAAAGCTTAGGGGTATGTGGGCTTATTTGCCTTGGTTTGAAATACCTCGGAGTCATCCAGCTTCCACCTTCCAATGCCAAGATTACCTTGTGTCTCTCACAACAGGCGGAAAACTTAGCATTTCCTGGAGACCTAAAGGGACACAGTGAGCTTAAGGCCTTCCAAGAGCTTACCAATCAGCCTTCCCTTGTTCATCCCCCGCAGATGTATGGTGCTATTGTGGTGGACCCTTACTGGACCCGCTGACAAGTAGCTAGAGCAGTCAAGAGATCAAGACCATCTTGGCCAATTTAGTGAAACCCCGTCTCTTAAAAATACAAAAATTAACTGGGTGTGGTGGAGGGTGCCTGTAATCTCAGCTACTCAGGAGGCTGAGGCAGAAGGATCGCTTGGACCCGGAAGGTGGAGGTTGCAGTGAGCCAAGATAGTGCCTCTGTACTCCAGCCTGGGAACAGAGCGAGATTCCGTCTCAAAAAAGAAAAGAAAAGAAAAGAAAAGAAAGAATAGCTGAACAATTAAGACCCACCAGTCAAATGGCCTGGGAGAACAGAATAGCATCAGACATGATGCTAGCAAAAAAGGCAGACTTTGTGTCATAATAGGAACCCAGTATTGCACCTTCATTCCTAACAACACAGCCTCCAATGAGACAATTACAAAGGCTTTCCAAGGCCTTACCTCCCTGTCAGATGAGTTAGCTAAAACTCTGGAATAGATGACCCCTTTTCAGGCCTCATAGAAAAATGGTTCAGTAAATAGAAAAGATTCATGACTTCAATATTTACCTCCCTTGCAATTACACAGCTACTCATAGGGACAGCTCTCACCGAAGACTTCTTCAGCTCTCCTCCGCCTTACTCAGATAAGTTCCTATTTTTAGAAAACCAAGCAGAACAGCAAAGTCAAGATATGCTGAAAAGGTTTGAAGAGGAAGGTGTATAAATTCAAGAGGGGGAAATTGTTAGGAACACACAGTTCCTCTTCAGGTTTTCCTGCCTTGTTCTTTGTTGCATTCTATAAGTAATCTTTCCTGCCTGACCTGCCAAGCTTGTAACTGACCCACACTGCCCTGCTTTAAGTCATTAGGTACAAACAGTTAACTTCCTAGCTCTTTGTCCTATTCCACGCCTGTATCCACCATCCCTCCCTTATTTAGGAAAAATGTTAAATCTAGCCAATCAGGATAAGTTTAGATTATGCGGTCTGACCCCAGCCCACAGTGGGAGGACACGGAAACACGGACTGCGTTAGGAAATAAGAACCCCTGCTTTCCTTTGTTTGGTGTGCTCTTGCTACTGCTCTGTATGCAAGAAACACCCTTCTGCAGAAATAAATTTGCCTCGCTGAGAAACTTTTCCTTTTTGAATGTCAGTTATTTTGCTTGACACTGGACATTAAGATTTATTTCCAACACTACCTACCTTTCTTTCTCTTTCCTTCCTTCCTTTCTTTCTTTCTTTCTTTCTTTCTTTCTTTCTTTTTCTTTCTTTCTTTCTTCCTTCCTTCCTTCCTTCCTTCCTTCCTTCCTTCCTTCCTTCCTTCCTTCCTTCCTTCCTTCCTTCTTTCTTTCTTTCTTTCTTTCTTTCCTTCTTTCTTTCTTCTTTCTTTCTCTCTCTCTCTCTCTCTCTCTCTCTCTCTCTCTCTCTTGCAGAGTCTCATTCTGTCTACCAGGTGGGAGTGCAGTGGTGTGATCACAGCTCATTGCAGCCTCAATCTCCTGGGCTCAAGCTATCCTCCTGCCTTGGCTTCCCAAAATGCTGGGATTACAGGCATGAGCCACTGCACCCAGCCAGATACAACCTTTTTTTTTTTTTTTTTTTTT